CGTAAAACCAGTCCCCATGACGTGAGTGGAATCTCAGGTTATGGAACCCACCAGGAGTTGAAAACAAGTGCACGCACACGTACACACACACACACACACACACGTACACACATACACCCACACACACACACATACACGTACACACACACACATACAAACACACACACATACACACACACACACACACACACACACACGCACACACACACACACACACGTACACACATACACACACACACACACATACACATACACGTACACACACACACACACATACAAACACACATACAAACACACACACATACACACACACACACACACACACACACACACATACACACACACACACACACAGCATCATACCAGTACATTAGAGAACCACACATTAGTCTGAAATGTCTGTAATGAATAAATAAACTCATCGGAACTGAGCCTCATATGACAGATGCTAACAGGAGTCAGCTGCAGTGGTTTCCTTCCAGGTTTTCCCAAAAACTCATTGAGAGTCACTTTTTATCAGAGTGGTTTTAATTTGCTGTTACTTTATTTTCATATTTTTTTCTTTTAAAGAGAACATGGAACACTACAATACAAATTACAAATACAAAACAGAACCAAAATGTGACAAGCCTAGTAGAATCAATCTTAATGTTGTTTTTCCATATTATACACTATCCATTTTCCCCATTTCTTCTTTAATTGAGTCTCTTTCAGTCTTAGATGATCTTTTCCATCAGAAAAATGTGGTGGATTAGTGAAGTCCATAAATCTAAACGTTTTTTTAGCAGCCAAAGACATAATTCTGAACAAGTTTATGTCTCTTTGAGTGTTGAATAGATAGAGCAGATCAGGGACCACTTGAACATCACACCAAATACTTGACCCATCATAATGAAAACAGTTTTCTAAAATACATTACAGATACACCTAGACATTTCCAAATATATATGTGAATGAGCCACATCCATTTCGCCAAATCCACGCCAACAGAATTGATGCTTCTTTAACTGTTTACTGTTTAGTTTGGGTGTAATGAAGTTCTTCCAGAGAGTGGTTTTACTTAATAATAATAATAATAATGCATCGGTTTTATATAGCGCTTTTTTGGACACTCAAAGACGCTTCACATGTGTCATTATTCATTCACTCCATACACAGTGGTGATAAACTACTAATGTAGCCACAGCTGCCCTGGGGCACACTGACAGAAGCGAGGCAACCAGTATGTGCCATCAGCCCCTCTGACCACCACCAACCATTCATACACACACCAGACTCATTCTAGGCAATTGGGGTGAAGTGTCTTGCCAAGGACACAACGACAGTAGTCAGTGGGAGTCGATGGTGAAAGTCTTGAGCGGGGCTTGAACCCACGACTTTCTGGCTCGAAGGCCAACGCTCTACCAACTGAGCTACTGCCGCCCCTTTACTTTAACTCCTTCTGCTGACTATGTTACTTTCGATTTCATGTAAGTATCGTCAGGCCTATTTTGGCAAAGCAAGTTTATTTATAACAAACCAGTCACAGAACAAACAAGCAAAATTTTCACGACTCAAAGAAGTCGTGATGATGAGATTTCTTAACAACCTGATTAGTGTTTTTGTCATTATCCATCTGCACTTTTAACCTGGATTTGAACATTGTCAGAGTCAAAGCCTGTCTCACATTTTGCAGCTCGACTTATCTGTTAGTGTATCAATGTGTGGTGTTATTTTTGGACAGACTGGAAACCATATAGCCCCCAGCCCCCAGCCCCCAGCCCCCAGCAAGAAGTCACGCCACTCGGTCACACATTTATTCTGTTAGATTTACTATAATGAATAACTAAGTTTAAAGCAGCCTTCACAGAGGTGGACAGTGCTTTTCCTGATTGGCCCTTAGTGGATTTTTCACCGGTATTTTGTGATTTGATTTGAAAGACTCCGGTCAATTATTATTTCCCCACATGAAATATGTACAATGGGGTGGTAAGACCAGGCAAGGTTAGATGTATTACCTTTTTACCACGGCAAAGAAAACCCTTAAAGATGCAGTCAGTGGTATTTTTCCAGACGCATTTTTTTAAATATTGTGGGAATGTGTCCCTAAATCCTAAAAGTAGTCAAGTTATCATGTGTTTTCAAATATTAATGGAATTGACCAGATGCCTATAGTCTCCAAAAATTAATACAACATATTTTGGAGCAGACCGATGAAAATCAACCAATGGGATTCGTTCATTCCCAACGAACCAATGGGATGCGTTTACCCCCTTCACCCTCTTCCTGTTTCTCGCAAGTGCGCCCACTTGAGTTATCAGATTATTTTCTAAAACCTTAAAAGGCTGAACAGAAAATGCCAATTTCACGTTTGTCCCCACTCTCCCTGTTGTGACAAAGAAAAGGAAATGCTGGATGTTTGGTTTGTTGGAGAGGGAGGGGAGTGGTTTGGCGTTGGTGCTACGGCTAAGCTAACAACATCACTTACTGCACCTTTAAGAGTTAGTTAGATTTATTTGAAACCTGCAGAACACTTTCTCATAGATCTTTACTCTAATACAGGTTTGAAAAGGGGTTGGATGAAGCAGGTGCTTATTTGTTCCCATCTCTCTCTCACAATTCTCAATAATACACATAGTATAGTATACCAGGTGTCCCCAAGCTTTTTCACACAGAGAGCTACTTTACCGGAACGATAAAGCTCCCCTGGAAAAAAAATGGTGATATATTGGTGAGAACAAGGCTGATATTAGTGCATAATAATGATAATGAATAATTCCATCTGAAATATGAAGTATATTATTTGATTTGTTCATTTCTAAACCCTTTGGCGAGCTACCTGGAAGGGCGTGGCGAGCTACAGGTTGGAGACCCCTGTAGTATACCCTGTCATGGTGGTATTAGACACACAAAACACACACACACACACTGGCCCAAACAGTCTCTGACCCTACACCTCTCTCCTATCCCCTGCTCTGTGCTTGTATGTATGTATTTATCTTTCTATCATTTGTATGATAGCAATTGCTGTTAATTCCATAATGAATTCCTGTATCTTAATTACTTAGAAGGTAATACATCTAACTTGTCTTTCAAAAGAACCACAAAAACAATAAGACAAAAGGAAGCCGGTTGAACATTTAATAGTGTTGTTTTGTTTTAATTTAGAGTGTCTTACGGTACAGGACAAAAATAATACTTCTCATGGCCTTTTCTTAGCTCAGAACCTTGAATGATGCGTTCTCACAGTTCCACGGCTCCAAATGAGTAAATGTTTTTGCTTTAATGTGCGGAAAGTGGAGCAGGCGATCGGTGGCTTGTGTGTGTTGCTGTATCGTGTGTCGGATCAGGTGATGGCCGTGACAACTGTGTTCTGACACGGCACATGAGTGACTCTGCGCTTTCTCTTTCACTGTGGCTCAAACTTATTTTATTAGTTAATCTGAATAGGGACAGTACACATTAATCAACATAACTGTAAATACTGTAAATACTGTAAATGTGGCAGCATTAGTTACACAAAGGTTTCCAGCTGTATTCCAACAAGCACAAACACAGCACATGTTTATGATCAGTAACTCTAGTTAGAATATAAAAGAATTAAGTGCATAGAACACATAGCGGCAGAGGGTTTCGCACCAAGAAGGTCCTGAGTTCGATTCCACCTCCGGGACCTCTCTGTGTGGAGTTTGCATGTTCTCCCTGTGTCATCGACGGAAACAGCAGCTCCACAACTGAAGTCATTTATCCTCAGAAAACATTGGTTTGGATTTCTCATTAGTGTACAATTATTTCAGTAAAACACAAGGGAAAAAACATATGATTGAATGTATAATCAACATTATGAATGAATGAATGAATGATACCTTTATTAGTCCCACCGTGGGGAATATAGAAGTTAGATTAAGATACTAACACGGAATTTACACAGTAGGCGTAAACAGCGCGTACGCGTTTACTGCGCGCTCTCTGCGCGTAACATTTTTTTGGAGTATCTACACTGACCGTGCACGCAGGTCCGCGTCTTCTGATGCTGTCCCTGTGTAGTCTATGGAGCAGTGTAGAGGACAGTACGGGCCAGAGGACTGATGTAGAGCAACACAAATCACATGCATGTGTTTGTCTTCATGGTCTCTGTGCGCTGGTTTGGCCAGACGCGAGACTTTATGAAAGAAAAAAAAACGATGTCCAGAATCACTGTAAAACCTGCTGCTCCTCCTGCTGATGTTTAGACACAAGTGCTGTGTGTGTGTAAATGCGATCTAGAGCCAAGGGCCGCTAGAAAAATCATGTTTTACATGAGATTTCAATGAGAGACGCGTTGGTGCGCGCACAAAATTAGAAATCCATCCTAAATTAGAGCGCAGCTTCGCGTCATACGTCCGTCATACGCGCGTATAACGCTAGAAGTGTAAATATCATCATAGGTTAACATGGAAAAAAGTTACGCGCGTCTGCTGCGCGTATAACGCGTACGTGCTGTAACGCGTGATGTGTAAATTAGCAGTAACTGCTAATTTACACATTTCACAAAGACATGTGGACAACACTCTGGAGAGTTTTGATTGGAGAAACAGAAACATGTGGACAGAAGTTATGAGTGGGTGAGGGGGCAGACAGAGATGAGTGAGACAGACGGTGGAGGATGAGAGAGTTGGTTAATCTGTATGGTTGTATAAGTAAAGTAACATGTAATATCAATCAATCAAATTTTATTTATAAAGTGCTTTTCATACAGAAAATGCAAAATAAAGTGCTTTACAGTTTGGTTAAAAACAGCCCCACCCATGACCCCTCCTCTAAACCACCCAACAAACCCACCCCAAACCACATAAGAACGCACGCATGCGCAAACAAACGCACACACACATGCTCGCACGCACACACACACACCAACACTTATAAAGATGTAGTGAATCTGTATAGTTGTATGAGTAAAGTAACATGTAATAATTATGTAGTGTATGTTTTTAACCCTGTGCCTCTGTCTCTAGGTGCATGGCTGATAATGTCCAGTCATGATGCCGGGCCAGAACCCCTTGTTACTGAAGTGGCAGGAGCATTTCAACAGTTCCTGGGCCGCTGAGGACAGCACCCAGACCGCCTCTCGGAACGGGGCATCCGCACTTTACAACAGACTGCTTCACAACAAGGAAGTGGTGACGATAACGCCCCCTGTGCAAGAGCTCATCGGCCCACGACTGCCGGACTTTGAATGCGAATCCTGTGCCTCTGCGGAGAAGGACGAGTACCTGACGTCCCTGCTCCACAGCCAGCGATGGTTGACGCACCGTATGCTAACGCGGACCTCCTACAACTGCAGCCTTCAGCACAGACTGGTCGTCCTGCAGAGAATCTTCCATGCCTTGCACAATAAATACCACGACAAATTTCGGACGCATTTGCCTTCGCAGGGGGCAGACACCGGGCCTCAGAATGGGCAGGTGGAGATGGCGTCTGAGCTTTTCCTCCCCGCCGGGTCGTGTAAAGTCAAAATGGGCACAGACGTCCTGATAGAGATGGGCGTGCGGACAGGTTTGAGTCTGCTGTTCTCGTTGCTGCAGCAGAATTGGAGGTTTGCGGCCTCGGTGCCTCCGGAGTCAATGCTATGCAACGATGTGCTCTCCACGGCGCTTTCGGTGCTGGCCTCGCTGCCTCCGCTCTCCCTGGCCAACGAGAACAAGATCCCGTCGGTGGGACTGGACTGTCTGGCTCAGGTCGGGGACTTCCTGAAAAAGACCTCGGTGAACGCTGGAGCCGGCGGGGCAGATGTGATGGGGAGGAGGCTGTCCCTGGAGCTGCTGCTGGGGCTGGCCATGCAGAGGGGCTCGCTCCGGTACCTGCTGGAGTGGGTGGAAGTGGCACTCGCAACCTCCCAGTCCTGCTCCAGCTGTAACCTCCAACAGTCTGTCAGTGTGGGGTTCGACGTCATTCATCTCGCGCTTCATCAGATGAGGCAGTTTTCTGTATGTATATTTCTGATTATACGCATTGAATTATAGGAAGAAATTATGAAAAGTGTTATATTTATTTATACTTTATATATTTATATTATTTTATGTTTTTTATTTTATTATTTTTTTTTTTCATTATTATTATAATGATTATTTTTATGATTATTTTTATTATTTTATTTGTTTAATTTAATTTAATTTGATTTTTTATGGTATGTATTTTTTATTTATTTCATTTTAATTGCCCGTGCCATCCTATTACATACATACACCATTTATACTGTCTTTTACATTTGTGCAACTTGAACAAACGGGAATAAAAGCAAGACACGCTTTTAAACCATGTGAAAGTGGTTTGAAAAAAATGAATATAGAGGCATTAACTTTATCTAAAACTAAAACGTGTAATGTTTTAGTTTAATAATATAATGTTTATGCTGTCATTGGCATAAACTGAAAACATTGATTTCTGTCCTACTTTCACTGTAAGTATGAGACAAATACTGCCTTTTCTGGTTTGGACACTATCCAGTGGCACGGTGGCGGAGTTAGTTAGTCAGTACTTGTGCAGACTTGTGAGGAATTTGCATGTTCTCCCTGTGTCTGTGTAGGTTTTCTCTGTGGGCTCTGGTTTTCCCTACCACTAAAAACATGTGCAATAATCTCCCATAACACTCTCTCTGACCCCACTCCCCCCCCTCTCTCTGGGGCCAGGACAAACCTGAAAGAAGATTCTGCCATCTCAGTGAGAGTTTGCTGTTGAATAAAGATCCATCGAATAAAAAAAATAATTAAGAAACACTCAGACCTCACGCACTCACACACCACGTATACAGTGGGGCAAAAAAGTATTTAGTCAGCCACCGATTGTGCGAAGTTCTCCCACTTAAAATAATGACAGAGGTCTGTAATTTTCATCATAGGTTCACTTCAACTGTGAGAGACAGAATGTGAAAAAAAAAAATCCAGAAATACACATTGTAGGATTTTTAAAGAATTTATTTGTAAATTATGGTGGAAAATAAGTATTTGGTCACTTCAAACAAGGAAGATCTCTGGCTCTCACAGACCTGTAACCTCTTCTTTAAGAGGCTCTCTTTACCAGTAGTAATGGCACCTGTTTGAACTGGTTATCTGTATAAAAGACACCTGTCCACAGCCTCAAACAGTCAGACTCCAAACTCCACTATGGCCAAGACCAAAGAGCTGTCGAAGGACACCAGGAAAAGAATTGTAGACCTGCACCAGACTGGAAAGAGTTAATCTACAATAGGCAAGCAGCTTGGTGTGAACAAATCAACTGTGGGAGCAATTATCAGAAAATGGAAGACATACAAGACCACTGATAATCTCCCTCGATCGCAAGATCTCGTCCCGTGGGGTCAAACTGATCATGATAACGGTGATCAAAGATCCCAGAACCACACGGGGGGACCTGGTGAATGACCTGCAGAGAGCTGGGACCAAAGTAACAAAGGTTACCATCAGTAACACACTACGACGACAGGGAATCAAATCCTGCAGTGCCAGACGTGTCCCCCTGCTGAAGCCAGTGCATGTCCAGGCCCGTCTGAAGTTTGCCAGAGAGCACATGGATGATACAGCAGAGGATTGGGAGAATGTCATGTGGTCAGATGAAACCAAAGTAGAACTGTTTGGTTTAAACTCAACTCGTCGTGTTTGGAGGAAGAAGAATACTGAGTTGCATCCCAAGAACACCATACCTACTGTGAAGAAATGGGGGGGGGGGAACGTCATGCTTTGGGGCTGTTTTTCTGCTGAGGGGACAGGACCACTGATTGGTGTTAAGGAAAGAATGAATGGGGCCATGTATCGTGAGATAAGAAGCATTTGAAAGTCCTGGAGTGGCCTAGCCAGTCTCCAGACCTCAACCCCATTGAAAATCTGTGGAGAGAGTTAAAAGTCTGTGTTCACTGCTCTCGAGCAGATCTGCATGGAGGAATGGGCCAAAATACCAGCTACTGTGTGTGCAGACCTGGTAAAGACCTATAGTAATCGTTTGACCTCTGTTATTGCCAACAAAGGTTATATTACATAGTATTGAGTTGAATTTTTGTTATTGACCAAATAGTTATTTTCCACCATAATTTACAAATAAATTCTTTAAAAATCCTACAATGTGAACTCATTAATCAACCTTTCTGAAAATGTGGTATTAGCTATACGGCTAGTTTCCAACTGTAGTCTCTAAGCAAGGTGTAAAAAAAAAAAAAATCCTGATTTACATGCACAGAATTAGCTGAAATTCTCCAACACAATCCTGACCTTATGTGGTGTTTCCTCCACTCTCCATCTCAGCAGCTTTAGCCTCAAAATGATCTCCCACTTTTCCAGTAGAACATATGAAATGAGGCGTTTACCATAATTCCCAGCGCACATGAAGGCAGCATTAGTTATTTATGTTGTATGATTATTGGATTATGAAGAATGTATAAATAAAGTTAGCTGCAGTTTTTTCAGAGATACTCAACTATTTATGCAGTTTAAGAGAAACTTTATTCGTCCCACAGCGGGGAAATGTCAGTGTTGCATCACCGGTCTCAGAACAGTAGGAATGAGGAGCACACAGCACAAGATAAATGAGCAATAACTATACTTAAATAGATTAAAATCTCTAACTTTAGCAAAAATAAAGAAGCAATTTGTGTTATTTTCCTGGTAGAGAAAGTTTCAAAAGGAATTATCAACCTGGATAATACATCACGATTTTAACTACTTCCAATTTAAAAATAATTATCAAATTATCAACTCACAGAAGACTAGCTTTGAAAGTACTTCTCCCAAGGTTCACTTCAGGCTTCCATTTTTTCTGTCTTTTTCTTTTCTATGTTCAAGTAAAAGTATCAATCAACTAGTATTTGTAGAGCGCCTCTCCTTCCTACACAAGGCAACACAAAACGCCACAAACCCACATCACATCAAGCAAATCATAAACATTAAAATCTACTCATTCATAAAAACACAGATTAACATAACAATAAATATTAAAAACAGGATAAAATAAAACGTAATTAAAAACCTTAAAACTTTAAAATCACGCAGGATTAAAACAATAAATAGCCACAAAAGAGTAAATATAAAATCCTTCAGTTGTTGCAGCTAAAAATAACTGTTTTTAACCTGGATTTGAAAACGTATCCAGTGTAGACGCCTGCCTCACATTTTCAGGAAGATTGTTCCAGATTTTAGCTGCATAAATCTGAAACGCTGCCTCCCCATGTCTTGTCCTGACTCTTGAGAACCAGCAGGAGGCAGAAGTAGACGTTTGTAATATTATACTAAACGTGTATATTTTTTCCCAAAGGGTATTCGGGTCGACTCTGTGAACGCTCAAGTGCTAAAGAAGGATCCAGAAGGTTTTTGTCATCTTTCCCAAGCCGCGCTCTGTCTCCTCGAGGAGGTGAGACTCACAATCATCATGTCTGAATATATTAAACTACAACAATACTCACTGTTTTCTTTGGAAACAGGTCTGTAGTTTGGCCTCCCATTGCCTGTGCTCGTGTAACACCGACGTGATGCAGACTCCGGACAGCGACACGGTCATGGTGTACGTCTGGGGCAGTAACAGCAGCCATCAGCTCGCAGAAGGAACCCTGGAGAAAATCCTGCTTCCAAAACTGACTCAAGGCTTCAGTGATGCTCAAATGGCACGGTTTCCCATCGTCTTGTTCAATATAATACTTGTGTTGTTGTTAGGGCCGGCACGCGATACAATTCATCTGATCGATTAGTTATAGAGGCTTCTTTATTATGCTAAAGCAAGAGATTTTACTTACTGCGGCTTGTAGCATAATCTGTCCGCCAAAACTCATCACTTGAGAAAGGTTCCATGGTTCAAAATGCGTGAAAAATGTTTGAATGTGAATGTAGTGTAAATAATTAATCTTAAAGTGATAGTCTGTAACTCTAAATGAATTACAAATGTTAGGAAATGTGTTAAATTGACCTCCTGGCCTTAAAGGAGCAATATGTAATATTTGCATGTCAAGTCATCATTAAATGACCCGAATATTTCAAAAGGCGTTATTAAATCATACTCTTTTCGAATTCATCTTTAACTGATAACAGTAGTTCAGCCGAGATATTTGATTATCAAAATTAGTTTTACGACCCGTAAAAGTTGTTATTGTTTTGATTTTGATGTCCTACCCTCCGCCGTTTCGCCAATCAGGAAGTGTCATGTACGTCCGTGATCGGGTTGCCAGAACTCCGCGCGGCTCATTAATCTCAGTGGTAAAATAACATGTGGCGCAGAACTAAAAAAGGTCTTGTTATGACTCTCAAATCATTAATGACAAAACAAAGACTAAAACGAGGATTTATATCGGGATGCCTTTGAACAATTGAGACAGCTGATCAAAATTTTCTAGTTTGACTGCGTTCTTCACAGTATCTCTATTCATGTGAACCGGTGGTCTAGTGGTCTAAGGTGTGCGCTTACGATGCAGGAACCCGGGTTCGATCCCGGGCTATGTCTTTTTGTATTTATTGCATGTTATCACATTCTATGACAGATTACTCTAAAAACGGTAAAAGATGAAGGTCAAGACATTTTTTTTGCAGATTATAGCTTAATTGTAAAAATAATCATTTAAGACCACATGTACCCCAATTAAAATAATGTTAGTCTCTTTTTGATGTGGGACTTTTACATGTTTGTCTAAAAAATAGGGAATAAATAAAATTGAAAGGTGATATCCTCTTGAGCAAACCCTGATGTTGATACGCTGAAGAAATACGTTCCAACATCCATTCTTCCCACTCCTATTTTGGACATCAATTGCTTATTTATTTTGCATAAACTATGTATAATTACATTGCTTTTATTTTGTTTTTGTTTTTTATCTCAAATGTCCAAATAATAATAATAAAAAAACATTAATCAAAACATTCATTCAGCATTAGCACGGCTGTCATGGCAATGTGAATGGAGACGGACAAACAACTGATAAAATAATTCCCTGTGTTTGCTGCTGGATTTGGTGTGAATCTGGCAACCTGAGTCAGGGAGAGTGGGAGAGGACTACAAAATATTGACTGTGACTGCAGTACCACTTTTGGCCAGATTTTTACATATTGCTCCTTTAAATATTGATATAAAATAAGTCATTTTATTAATTCTAATATTACAGGTAAGTCCCGCCTTCACTTCTCTTAGCTATAGCTCAGAATCCACGGTGCCGTCGAGGTTAACCAATCGAGTCATGCCAAGGGCTGTCAATCATCGGCGCTGATGCTCGCAGCTGCGCGCATGGGCAGTTGTTTGTTTTCACGGAGCCTCCGAATCAAGCCTCTATTAGGCTCTGGAACTACATGAAAACTGAACAAAGAATTCTGGACATCCGCGCTGAGGTACTTATGTATATACTGACCCTATATCCATAATCATTTATATACTGAACCTATATCCATAATCATTTATATACTGAACCTATATCCATAATCATTTATATACTGAACCTATATCCATAATCATTTATATACTGAACTTATATCCATAATCAGATCCTCTGCAGATGTGTCCTATAATGTGCAATTCATGATAATAGCACTTCCGGGTTTGCCGCGATAGCTTTTTTGTGCATAAAAACATTCTTTTTTTCATTAAAACATTAACAAATAATTCTGAAAACCTCCGTGCATGTGTATTAATAATGTATATGTATAATGTGTTCTTTGATTAACATTTCAAAGTGTTACGGAAACGTAGGTGTAGACCAATCAGAAAGGAAGGGGGAGGGAGCTTGCGTCGTTTTTTTCAAATCAAGTACCTCTCTGTCTCTCTTTCTGACAAACTCCAGACAATCACTTTAATCAACGCGTTAAAGTCCCGGCTCTAGTTATTATAGAACTGTGATCTTATAACCGCATGTTTTCTCTCATGCAGATTGAGGCAGGTCAGTACTGCACCTTCTCAGTCTCTGAAGATGGATCCGTGAAAGCGTGCGGTAAAGGAAGTTACGGACGGTTAGGACTCGGAGACTCGAACAACCAGTCCATCCCTAAGAAACTTGTTCTAGAACCCCACAGGAACATGAAGAAGGTGTCGTCTTCTAAGGGCTCTGATGGACACACTTTAGCCATCACTGCAGAAGGCGAGGTATGAAGGATTTAAGGATGTTCCTATGCATTGAATCATGACGGCAGTTGTTACAAAGGGCTTTGCCAAATTGTTGATTTACCAGCAGCAAAAAAATCTAAATATTAAAGCAGCCATTGGTCTGTACCATAATCTTCAGGTTAAAACTGGCCTTACTCGCCCAAATCCATTCCTGCACCCCAGGGGGAGCTCTAACAAGATAAAAAAGAACGTTTTTCAAGACAATGTAAGAAACATTGTCTTGAAAAACATGAAAAGTTATTTATAGTCCAGAAAGTAGTGTATATAACAGATATTTCCTCTTGTTTACTTCCAGGTCTTCAGCTGGGGAGATGGAGAGTATGGAAAATTAGGTCATGGAAACAGCGCAACACAAAAATATCCCAAAATAATCCAAGGGCCGCTGGTCGGCAAGGTACCTATGTTTTATTTTGTATATTTTGTGCTAGAATATGCATTATTTTATACTTTATTTATTGTTTATTGGTTGGGAGAGTACATGTTAATATGACCAACCGGCGCGCCGGCGTGCCGTTTTTGTGTTTTTAAATGTTCTGCTGGCAATAGCAGATGTATTTTGAACACCAAACCCCAAAAGCTGTATATCCTTTTAAAGCCTATTTTCTTATCTACATTTATATACAAGTGTAAACTACATCAGACTTTGCATTCAAAAGATATAACACATAATGTGGGCACAAAATAAATCAATTCCGAAATAGTTTTTTACCTTTGGGCTTGTGCTGTACAAATAAATCAGCTCTCCTCCCAGCTTGCAATACATCATTCTCTCTGGAACAGTCCAAAGGAAGATTATATCCACTTGTATTTCCCAAAGTAAAATCCATTCTCCAGAAATAATCCAAAAATGTGCATTTATCTTTAGCGAAAAAAAAGAAAAAAAAAGAGCACAGATGTTGTTCTTTCACTTTTAACGGACTTTTAGCTTTGTTTTTCACCCGAACATCTGGTATCTACGTGTTCCTTAGCTCCTTATCTTTCAAATGAGACTACTCCCGAAAAGCTAGACCAATTTTTGGGTCTGCAAGAGCTCCCGCGAGTACAGCTAGCGCTGCTGTTTGCGCATGGATCACTGATCTTTATTGTGGTCCCAACTTGTTTACATTTACTTCCGGGATGTTTGATTGACATGTCCGTGTAGCCAATGAGGAAAGCTTTCGAGCAAGGGGTGGGACAATGGTGTCCTGTCTTATGTTGTGCCTGTAGAATTGTGCGTAATGGCAGCCAAAAGACGCTCTCGAAGCTGCAATGAATGTACACTCATAAAAAAATAACTTTGACATAAAAAAAAAAAAAAAAACACATAGATTAGTAACTTATAAGTACCAATAATAAAAAATATTGTTTTTATGATGATTAAATGTCAATAAAGATATTTGGCAAATGTGCACTACTTCATGAAAAGGAGAAACTGCATAAAAACTATAAAACTTAGAAGTATGAAACTTTAGACAGTTGTTGTCAACAACACAATGATCACAGGGTTTGAATATTGTGAACTTACAATAAAGTATGCCTTTTTTAGGGCCTTTAGAAATGGAAAATGTTAGGCGAGGCTAAAAAAATTGGGTTTTTTTCCCAAACTTCAAAGGATGCAGAGGGAAATAGGAATGACAAACATTATTTTTGTGTTTTTTTACATAAACTAGAAGGCTCTAGCTTTAAAATGATGCATCACACAAGCATGTGAGATGTAAGATGTGTTTTTAAATAAGCAAAGACATTTGGGTATGGCCAACTTTTGTGCACGAGCCAAAATGAGGCGGGTTTTAAGAGGTTAATGAACACATCAGTCCGGATTTTCAATTTCCATCCATTCACCCTGAACTATTGCACATGTTTTTAGTGGTAGGGGAAACCGGAGTACTAGGAGGAAACCTACGCAGACACGGGGAGAACATGCAAACTCAACTCAGAGAGGCCCTGTTCTGACCGGGATTCGAACCCAGAAGCTTCTTGCTGAGAAGCGAGAGTGCTATCCACTCTGCCGCCCTTACTTACTTCTTTATTATGCTAACGTTAGAGATATGATTTTATTTCAGTTATTTTAGTTCTTCATTCCTACTGTTCTGTAACTGGTGATGCAACACTGACATTTCCCTTCTGTGGGGCCGATAAAGGATGTCTGGATGTGTGATGTGTTCCAGGGCGTGGTGTGTGTCTCTGCAGGCTACAGACACAGTGCTGCTGTGACCTGTGATGGAGAGCTCTACACTTGGGGAGAAGGAGACTTTGGGAGACTGGGTGAATGTTTGAGCTTATTATTAACCTCACATGAAAAATAAATCCATAGTAACATTGTTTTTGTCTGTGAAGGTCATAGCGACAGTCAAAGTCGAAACGTCCCCACTCTGGTGAAGGACATCAGCGGCGTGGGGCAGGTGGCGTGTGGCAGCTCTCACACCATCGCAGTGGCACAAGATGGACGCACCGTGTGGTCGTTTGGAGGAGGCGATAATGGTATGCAGATATAAACTGTTTGTTGACCTGGTTTTTCCTGAAATAAATCACGTCATAAAGAGACTCTCTGCTGCAGGTAAACTGGGACACGGAGACACCAACCGCGTCTATCGGCCCAAGGTCATCGAAGCCCTGCAAGGATTTATCATCCGGAAAGTGTGCGCAGGAAGCCAGTCCTCTCTCGCTCTGACCTCTGCTGGACAGGTGAGGTCGGCCATTCCAGCTCTCAGACTATACTTTAAAGCAGAGTTCCACAACCTGCAGCCTTTATCACTGGGACTTTATACACAAAATCTCTAACAGACCTGAATGAGTTAAAAAAGGCTGAAAAGGGCAAGACTCTAATAGTCTATTGTAAAATGTTTGTACTGTGTAATTAGTGTGTTTATAATGATCTATCTATAATGATAATAACATTGAAAAGCGCTTTGGGTGACCTTGGTCTGTAAAAATGCACTATATAAATAAAGATTACTTACTTTATTAACAAAGTAGGTCATTTCTCATTAAAGTGCAAGAATAAGTCTGATCTTCTTTTCACCAAATTTTTTTGGTAATAGTCGTTTCATTCTTCGGTCACTGTGAACATTTGATCTTAGGTCACATGTTTTCAAAGATCTTAAATATTTTACAATACCATTTTGACCAATAGGTGATTTCTGGATCATGTTCAAAGGCACAAAAGCACTGCTCTAAATGTTTCGGTGAAATGTTTTCTAAGAGTTTCGGTGAATATGTCGTCTTTAGTTGGACTCATGAACCAGATACTTAACAATCGTCACTTGTTTCTACTGTCACTTCATTCCCTTTATAATCTCACACCTCTCGTCACTCATCCATAACCTGTTAAATGCATATTGTGTGTATTGTGTAAATTTTTGTATGCATGGTTTTATATCTGTTTTTTACTTTTATACATTGTTTGCACCATGAGCCAAAGCAAATTCCTAGTTTGTGACTTCCTGTTACTTACAATAGCAAAACCGAGATTTCTGATTCTGATTCTGATATGCACTGATCAGGCCTGAACTTGATCAGAGTCTGTGCAGCTGCATCTAGTACACTCATGGGAGACTACACAGTTTGTAGTGAAATGGGTCAATTTATGGTAAATCCAACAGGTATATTCCTTAGAGGAGAATGGCTTTACATAATGTACTTATTATACACAGTAGGGGGTATGTATATTTAGTTTGTTTTGATTGGGCACAGGTCTTACAGGAATACACGGGACTTGTTTTTTATAGGGATATAGTAGGAGCAGAGTTATTAGTTTTAGTAGAAATATTATTGTGAAAAAATTTTGTTTAAACAGTTGTCCATGGTATAATTGTTTTTTCTCCATCAGCTGTTGGTTAAGCATTACATTACAGCAGGATGTCAAACTGGATCCAGTTTGGGTTGACTTCCAACCAAGCAGGAGCACACCAGACCACGCCCATTTCCTCAAGTCTTAGCCTGAAGACCTGAGGAAATGGGTGGAGTCTGGTGTGCTCCTGCTTGTTTGGAAGTAAAACCTGCAGCCACACCGGCCCTTTGAGAACCGTTTGACACCTCTGCATTCCAACATGAACATGAAGACCAGATGCTTATATTGAAGTGCGGCCTATACGTAGATAAAATGTGGTATGTGTGGTTTCTATAGAGATGTATTTAAAAGTCCAGCAAGTACTGTATTTGTCACTGTCTGAAATTAAAAATCTGACAGTGAGAAGTTGTGAGTGTTGGAATTAATAAATCAAGAATAGCTTTTCAGGCAGACTTAATTGCCTTTATTTTATTCTTTCTATTGCTGCCTGAAAAAAAATTGTTTTTGTGTCGATAAGGTGTTTGCCTGGGGATGCGGCTCTTGCCTCGGATGTGGTTCTTCGGAAACGACATCTCTGCGCCCGAGGTTCATCGAGGACCTGAGTGTTACCAAAATAATCGACATCTCTTGTGGAGACAGTCACTGCCTTGCACTCTCTCATGGTAACTACAAAAATTAGCACAATTGACTTAAAGGTCCCATATCTCGCTCTTCTTCATTATTCATAGTCCGTCCTAAGCACATATGTGATCATAAGTTCAGATTCAGATTCATTTATTTGCCATTTGCAGTAAAACCACATTGGATAAACTGTGCAAGACTACCCCAGTGTGCACACACCAGAGCTCTTGCCACGGCGCCATCTTTACGGCGCCATGCAAGTTTGAGAGATACACAAAGCAACACTCAAAACTAGTGAAATTTTAGCCATTTCTTGCATTGGAGTGATGTCAACTCAATCTAAACGAGCTGCTCCTCTACCTCTAAAGCGGGTCAAAAGCGGGTCGAAAGTGGGTCTAAAGCAGGTCTAAAGCAGGTCGAAAGCGGGTCTAAAGCAGGTCTGAAGCAGGTCTGAAGCAGGTCTGAAGCAGGTCTGAAGCAGGTCTAAAGCAGGTCGAAAGCAGGTCCTAAAGCGGGTCTAAAGCGGGTCTAAAGCAGGTCTAAAGCGGGTCGAAAGCGGGTCTAAAGCAGGTCTAAAGCAGGTCTAAAGCAGGTCTAAAGCAGGTCGAAAGCGGGTCTAAAGCAGGTCTGAAGCAGGTCTGA